TTTTCGCGCCTCCGGAGGGCTTTTCTGTGTGTATATAGTCTTTATGACTTTAGCCTCCTCTGTTCTCCAAGGCACGAGCCGTCACTGAACATCATAAATACTGTGAAAGAAGACACCTAAAGTGACTCCTAACAGGAGAAACTACAATCAGCAAGTTTTGTTATTTTTGTTTTGTTTAAAGTAGTTGAGTACTAGTCCGCAAATCTGATAGGTCTATCAATAGTCAATATTATTCCTAGTTGACTCAGGAAGTATCTACCCAGACCAAGTTGTTTAAGCGCAGACATAAATAAAAACAAATGAAATAATCATATACAGCCAATAATTCTTTAATAAAATTCAATTTTTCAATTACTTCGATGAGTTGGTTCAAAAAACTACAACAGAAAAAAATTAAAGTATTATCAATAACAATTCACAAATAATATTTGTGATGCACTGTTTGGCTTGAATATTGATAAAGATAACTACAATAAAATTCAACAAATTTTGAAACCAATTTGAACCAATAACGAAAGAATTACAATAAAGAATTTTTATAAATAGCAGTTGACTTTTCAGCAAAACTATTTTTTGTGAATATTGAAATCTCTAAAAATATTCATCAAATAAAATGTTTGTTCTGTTATTATTATTTGCTGAACATATTCATCATTGTTTTGGTCACAAACCAGCCTAAGATTTACCAGTTATAGATCACTACTTCATTTGAAAGGCTATCTTAATTTTTCGTTATTCCCTATGATATACCGTTTTTCTTCAGATTGTCTACTTCACCATCATCAAACAATACTTTTGTGAAACACTTGAATGTCAATGAACACTTTTTGAAAGATACATAGAACATACAAGTAGAGCATACAAGTTTTTTCCAAATAAAAATTAGAAGTAAAACCTTCTCGAGTTTTACTCATTCAATTATACGAAAAAATCTTCCGAAACATTCCAAATAAACGTTGAATTACACAAAAATAACTCTTTCTCTGGAATTTGTACTGCAAACATTTGTTATGCAATTGAAACAGGTAACATTAATATGAACACTACTCAATGTGTAATTCAATGTTCATGTGAAAGTAGTTGTTACGAAACGCCTTTTCCTCTCAGTTTGAACCTGAAAAATAACTTTTGTGTATACTCTACATGTCTGTATTTTCATTGCTGTTTTCTTCCTTCCTTTCTTTGTGAGTTCCCAACACTTTCTGTTCAACAATGGAGAAGAAAGCCAAAATGTTGTTTTAATGAGCCAGTTATGAAAGTAATTCTGCGCAAAAAAAGGGCTACTCGAAACTTTTTGGCAGGCATTTGTTCACTCAGTATTCAATTAAAGTATCTAGCAAATAACCCAAAACCAACACTCACCTAGACAAAACGGCACTGTCAGATCCGGCTGTCAAACCTGCATTTTCCAGCACGCTCTGACTCCCTCGCTCACCAGACATGAACCCATTTTTCTTCGCCGCCGGCTCCGTTCTAGACAAAATACTCGAAATAGAAAAGTTCGTCGAGCCACCGGAGCCCTTTTGAGTGGCCGAAGCCCTATTTTTGTCGGTCCTTCCGTCATCGTCTTCACAAGTTTTAATCACCGGAAAAACACCGGAGGAACGGCTGAGGCCGTAGTTGTCGGGTTCCGGGGAATTGTTCCTGCTGCTCGATTCCGGGCTGGACACCACGTTTATTTCCGTTTCTCTAGAGGGTGAGCTCATTTTTAGTGTTTATCATCGATTGGTAGCACTGAATCACTGCACAAGCACTGCACTTGACGTATTTACCCGACAGGCGAGAAACTATAAAATATCAACAACCCGAGAGCTCGGCTATGACAGAGTATCCGTTGTAAGTATTTAGATTGAGTTTGCAGGACTTGCTAGGGGCGGTGAATAGTAGGACACACCCCTGTGCCGTCAGAAACACCCCTAACTTCACCTGATGCTGCTTCTTTCTGTCGGACCCTATCGCCGCCATATTTCCATCCCTTTCTCACCCCTTATAACGGTTTTGAGGTACTTTTCTAATGTGTCGCAATGTGTAAATATATTCGTCGACTGTCTCGCTCCGATTGTTGGTCTTTGTTCCGCAGTGGATGTTGGCACCCCTTAAACTGTTGTTTCTTAGTAGTTGATTCCGTCACAGGGAAGTGCTTCTGGAGTAAATGTTCAGATAAGCTTACATGTTGACAAATAATTCCGGTTATTTTGTTCTCTGCAAGGGCGTGTTTGGGACTGGTTGATTTGCTTCTTCGCGCTAGCACGGTTAATTAATTTTTCTTGATGGAAAATTGGGTTTTATGTCTCGATTATTACTGACAACAATATCTATGAAGTTTGGAAGGGTGGAATAGAGTTAAAACGTATACTAGCATTACTGATCTCCCGAATTCTCCAAAATAAGTTATTAGAGTTTTGTTGCCAGAAAAATATTTTTAAAAGCCTGTTATAAAGGCAAAAAACGGAAATTTGCATAAATTTGTTAGAAAAGATAGACACTATTGTGTAAATTGAAAGGGGTATGTTTTTGGGAGAGATTGGTTATTCTGAAAGAGAGGTTTTCTACTAATCATTTCTGAAAATATCCCCCTTTCCTTTCAAACAGAAATCCTATCCTAAAACACGATTTTTTTTCGACCAATGAGTCACTAGGAAGATATTTTATCCAGCCGATGCAGGCAGGCATTCTCTTCTGGTATTTCTTCCGGACTAAACCTAATTCTCGTTCTCCTTGCCATGAGGTTATACTGTTATTTTTCTGTTTGTTCATTTTGTTGGTGTTATTGATAAATTTTATCATTTGTAAACGCTGCGTCCGCCTCATAATAATTCACCTATCACCAGTTTTGACAGAACTATCTGTGAGTTGACAATTCCATGGGCATTATCATTTTATTCTTGAAGTGAAGAAGACGATGCTGTAACGCTGGAGCTAGCTATGGGGATCATTCTTCAAGCAATAGGCTATTTACAAGAACATAGATTGATCGATGTAACCCTCAGCTACTGTTGTAGACTTCCATCCTCCGTGCTTCTCAATATTCGTTTTTAAATTTGCTCCTGATTCTGCTAGCAAAGAATCAGAAGACTTTCTGAAACAGTGACCTGTATATTCCTTTGGTTCTGGGAGGTTCAGAAACTAAGCAATGGTAGAGGACACTTTTCCAGATGTGTTTATACAAATTGTGTTGGCATTGCATTTATAACTTGAGTATTTCAGAAAAAACCGTTGATGATTGATAAGGGAAAGGCGTCATGCAACGTATTTATTAAAATAGTCAATTTGTTTCACAACAATGCAAAAAACTTAATATCTTCAATTAAGTATAGCAAGTATACGGCAAGTTCCGTATATTCCAAAAATAGTAGCAACTTTTATCATCGAATATTTTTCATCTAGCGCCTCATTTATAAACCTCTGGACTTGTTCTGACGTAAGATTTTTTTATTTCTTGGGCCGATAACTTTCATTTTTCCGTTTTAAGAATGCTATTACCTAGAAATATTTGCTTGCATTAACACTATTTTTAATTCTGACACTGACTCGATGTCAGCTGTCACCTAATCACATTTCAGCAGGAATATGTACCAAATGTGTCCGCGGTTTGCCCCTATTTTTTGAGTGTTTTGTCCACGAATTTTCCCCTTTTAATTTATATATAATATTATCAGTTGGGGAAAGGATTTCAGTAACACCAAACCCCAGAAATAGCAATAACTATTATTGATGTGAAACATCTACAGTCGCACGTAAAAATTTTATGAAATCGATTTATGGCATGGTGACGGGTCGACGTGCGCAAGCGACTGTGTGATTTTTTTTCCACTGGTTCGGCGTTATGCTATATCTGTCGCCACACTAAGGTCGTATACTTATAGTGTATACAGTTGTATTCACTGAAGTATGGGCAACCTGTGTTTTACTAAATGAAGGATTCCATAAAATAACTAAAGATAAAATATGTCTGACAGTGATAATTTAGAAAGTGAAAGTGAGCAGTCTCCTGCAAGAAAGCACAATCATACTACGATACATTATCAAGTCATCATTGAATTACTTATATTCTATATTTCATAATTTAAGTATATATTTATCTGTGCACAAGCCCCCATTAATTTGATCTGTCTCAAGGGTTAGTAAATGTGAAATTTACACAAATTTCATAGCTTTCATCATGTATATTATAATAACATATTTTTTATAAATATTTTTGGACCCAACAATCATCACAGTCGTTACAAAATATTATTGACTACAACAAAAATCAGTTGAACAGAAGAAATACCATTAATGTTATGACAGCCTTTATTGATCTAATAGTAGTAGATCAATATAGCATTATATTGATATTAATATACTGATTTTCATTTGAGTTTCTATCCATACTTTTATATTTTATGAAAATATTCAATCAATTTATTCTAGAAACGTGGCTTCGCTCTTCCAAGAAAATTTGTCACAATTTTATGTGTGTTATGAACTAGATAGATTTGAACAGATCCAAATGTTACTGCCAAACATTTTCTAGAATCATTCCCCCTATTCTACATGACTACAGTTTCAACAATACATTAATTAATAGGAAATCGGTGATAAAGTTCTTAGGAATTATGTTTCGACGTGAATTGAACTTCAGATCTCATAAAGAGTATATAATAGCTAGGTTAGGTTTAGGTTAGGTCCAAAGTAAGTGAGTCTATTCGACCCTCCACTGCAGCCCGCATGGGTTTATTGTGGCTCACATCTATTTACACTCGACCAAATAAACCCAGAAGGTGTTTTTGATTCATCTGCTCTCAATATTTCCTTCTCCCAGAGGATCCAGTCCTCTCTACTCGGGAACAGTACTTTATAAGGCAGTTCATAGTTGACAGTTGCAGACATAAAGTCAGAGGTCATTTCCAGAATGCTGTGCACTCTGCATTAAATTGATTTGTGTAATTGACAATGTGCACAAATCTATATTCAGTCCATCCAATCTGTCTCCCCAGAAAAATGTGGAGATGAGGTAGATCCAGAAGGATCCCCATGGTCACTGACAATGTGGTACTGATGGCACCACTGATGGCCAGACGAGTCTGTCTGTGTAAGGTAGAGAGCTTCGCCTAGGCCGTTTTCTGTGAACCCTTCGGCCACCAGGCAATTTCTACATAAATGATCATTGGTCTGACAATCATATCATAAATCCAATGGATTTGTTTGAGACCTAAACTTCAAGTTCCACCACAAATCCTTCGATATGTCCATAGGGACAGTCTGGCTTTGTGTGAAACTTTTTCCAAGTGAGCGTTCCAGGTCAGTATATAGCTAAACCACTCAAGATATTGGGTTTCATTAATAGACCATGTGAAGACTTCAGTTTGAACACTCTCAAATTAATATATTGTTCATTAGTTAGATCATTATTGGAGTACGCTTCAAAAATCTGGTACCCATATTATGAGATACCCAAAAACCAAATGGAAGCTGTACAAAATACTTTTCTGAGGATCTGTGCATACAAGTTAGGTCCACGAAGGAGAAAATGTGTATTCAACAACATTAGAGATCAGATGAATGTATTATCTTCAAAGAATAGAAGAATTATTCTAGATATATGTTTTTAAAACAAAATTTTGACTGGCAACATCAACTGTGAGGAGATTTTATCTTTAAATAATTTGTATGTCAACAGACAGACCAGCGTCAGTACCGAAACATTTAAAATACCGTTCCACTCCACAAATTATGGTTTTTCCCCCGTCACTCGAATGCTCAAAAATGGGAATACGTATAAACAGATTGATATCTTTAACAGCTCCACAAATATCTTCAAAATTGAACTGAGTCCCATTATTTTCCGAAACATTTTCTTTAATTATTCTGTACTATTCCATCATTATAATGTTTTCTTTTATATACCATAATATTGTACTACTATTTTATATTTTACCACAATATTTTATTGTGATTTCACTACTGTATTGTATTTTGTTTTATATTATTAGTATTGTGTTATGTATTTATTATCTTCAGTAAAGTCGATGTGATCTCAAGATTGGAAAGGAAAGAGAACATCACTCTATCATTATTATTATTTCAGATTGTGAAAGGCTGGAGACCTAAAAAACAAAGGATAATCGAGTCCAAAGAAAATAATATGTTCAAAGGAATGCCTAAAATTCATCATTTCCTCTTTTCTAACCAAATTGATCCAATTATCTCGACAGCGAAGCTCATACAGGTATCCTTTTATCGAATTCGCAGAATCAACCGAACTTGTAAATGATTGAGTGGATACAAATCCAAGAGAGCTGGAAAACATCTGGATATACTTTCCCCTAGCCCAATTTTGCGCCACTCCCACCCCACCGCCCGTTCCCGACCAATGACTGAACCCGTAGACTTCCCCGTCCGCACCGAATTGCCGGCCTCCAATCACATCTGAGGTTTTCAAGTCAATATTTGTTACTTTATGAATGTTGCGTTTGCCGTCTTTGTGAAGCGAAATGATCAGTATACTGGGGCGATAAATGGCTATAGCTTCATTGCTTCATTGTGTTCCAGATTCTGTTAACATGCCTCTGTTGGTGTGTAGCCGTCTTTCTCTGGCGCTCGCTCTGCGTCTGTTTGCCGTCGATGCTGCTTTGTTTTTCTTCTATTGATCGAGACTTTTGTGTACTTCGGATTGTTGATGCGATTTCTGACCTCGTTTTCGGTTTTCAAGGTGAATTGGAAGAATTTAGCACTTTCTCAGTTTTGCCAATTAAATAAGTAGAATACTTTCATTCAGTTCTCAATTATTCCCTATAGATTGAGGAAGGATTACTGCCCATACACTTACCTAATCACCAAACGCTTTGTTTGCTTTGTCCAATTGCCCATATTATCTCCCTTCCTTTCTATGATGTTCTATTTTCACCACGGTATTTCCCATATCTTCTAATCATAATATTTTTGTCATCTTTTTTAATGACTTCCTTTCTTAGAATACTGGTATTATTTTCCTTCTTTCATTCTGTTCACACGTTTAATCCAGCGAAGTGGCCTCCTTTCTTTTCCTGCATCGATTTTAGCTCTTCAAACATGTATCTGGTGATCTTAATACGGATCTAAAGGTGATTTCGAATTGCAGTGAAAGTAATCAGGTTCAATTCAATGCCACAAAAACCAAGAAACGATAAATGTCTCCAAACCGGAGACATTTCACGACAGACAATTCCGCTTTCCGCTTCGATGAGTTTGTTGAGTATTAAAATCGCTAGAATTGTAAAGGATTTTTTTGGTACTTTGGGAGCTGTCTGACTTGTCCATTCAGTCCAAGACTCCAGAAAACACTGCAGCCTTTTGGGCTCATTGCGTTTTTTCTCCCATCTTCTCATGAAACTCATTCCATCAGTCTCGTTTCCTGTACTAGTTTGTACAGGTTCCGTGTTGGATGTTCGTCATATTCTTCTGGACGTAATTTCGTACGTCCATATATTGCCTGCCTCTTGTGTTTCAGTGCCTCACATTCGCATAAGATGTGTAGAGCTGTTTCTATCCCTTCGTTACATAATCTGCAGCTGAGGTCTCCGTTGTACAGGTGTCCTCTAAGTGGACAATGATCGGTTAGTAGCCCTGTAATTATTCTGAGCCGATCCCTACTATATTGAAGTAGTTCTTCGGTTCTTTTTCCGGACGGTTCCCTAATGAAGGTTCTACTGTGTTTGTTGCCNCTACTTGAAACTTAGTTCATCATTGCCCAAATGATCTGGGTTACTTCAATATTACACAAATGCAAAATTATCATTTGTACAATTTTCTCAGGTGCCCAACATGGTTTTCATAGACTGTTTTTTTTTGAGCAGTTTATATGAATAGTTGTTATGTTGAGCAGTGTATACACGCTTTGGTTGAGATTGTAGTAGGGAGAAATGTCATTAGTGTCAAATACGTCATCATTATAAAAAATGAAACTCCTGGACACCGACATCAAAGGGACCGACGCTGAGTGAAACTACTGTATACAGAAATACTGTGCTACTTCTCTCCTCTCCCCTCCTCTTCTCCCCTAAGACTAGTAGATAAGGCAGTATTGCGAAATTAATTTTCAAGACACCTAAGATGCAGTTATCTATGGTATGAATAAGGATAGCTTTTTAGGTATGGTGAGTTTGATCTTCTTCTTGAAGATGGTTATCAAAACACGTGTCGAGGTGTTAAAATAACGGTTTGATTTACAAAAAAGTCCAGTAATATTCATCACTACACCAAAGGTTCCAAACAGTGCATCACAAATATCCATTAAACACAATCCAGGTCGTCTGGAAAAGTAATTTTGGCAGCAAAACTTGGAAAATATAATTCCACCATTGAAGAAGTAGTTTCTAACAACTTGAATTGTTCTAATTTTGAATATTTTCTCATAACAAAACCTATTTCATTCAATTATAAACAATATTCTTGCAACAGCTGCTATAAAATTTAACTGCTTTATGGACATGGTACACATCAATAATGACGATAGATCCTATAAAGAAAGAACTTATTTGAATAATTTCACTTCTTTGATTGACGACTTTTGTTTATTTTGTGGAACGGAAATTCAGGAAACAGATTATTCAATGCCAAACCTAAATTAGACAAAGGGAAGAGATCTGGTATATATCAACAATGTGGTGAATGCCCCGCTATATATACAGGCCAAACTGGTTGAAATTTTGATACATGTCATTTCGAATAAAAAATCATTGATGTACGAACGGAGGTTAAGTGGTAGAACAAACACTGCAGTTTTGAACTTCGCCTTTTGGATGTTATATTTATTTCACCCAATAAAGACCATTATCATTATTATTATTAACATCTTCAAAATTCGAAACATAAAATAGATAAAGATAATTCAAAGATCCTTCACACATGCGAAAAAGGGAAAATTATGAATCTGATGGAATCTAAGGAAATAAACAGGTCAAAGGAAAATCCCAATTCTATTGTCCTCAACAAACAACTTGATCTAAATAATAGTCCTCTCCTGAACCTATAATCCAGATCCCAAAACCCACATTATATCAAAAGCTTTGTTTTGATATGTTCATGGATATTACAGGTATACAAAATGTAGGTACCAAATTATTTATGATAGGATAGAAAACTTAGGTATAAATTACTCAGACTTAAATGTAATCAGTTAGTTTTGAAAATGGTGTAATTGCTAAAACTAGTCAACAATATGAAAATATCGTGGAAAATAGACAAAAGTGTGTTTTTGTAGTGTATCCTCAGTGAATAATTTCAGCCTAAGTTATACTTACATCTTCAAATATCGAAAAGAAAATCCCAAACCCACTTCTAATTAAAATTTTCCTCTTCGAAATTATTGTTACTGTCAGTCACTCTCTTTAAAAAATGTTTCATGTTTTGTAGAGATACTTATTCTCTTTTTCAATCTCATGTTCGTAAGTAGATCAGTTTGTGGTACAAAAAAAATGTTAATTAATCAATTTCAGTTTTTTTGAGGAAGGTCATAAGCACCACCGAAAGCTTGACAAAGATAAAGAGAATGTTTTGTGTCTGAAAGTTACTTCTTTGCATGATCTATACATCTATGTATTGATTGCTTCCTTAGTTTCTTTGGATGATTCCTACGTTTTTTGTATCAAACAGAGAGACACAGTGGTGTTTTATAATATTCAGTGATGATTTTCGTCGGCATTTTTCAAGAGATTTCCTTTCGCACAAACTCCGTCTCTTTCAAAAAAGAATTGTTTTTTAAACGACCTCGATATGTATTATTGTCCACTCTCCACAATGTTTAGCGGATTAAGCGATTAGTCAGAAGTGTATATTAGTAGAAGTGCCTTTCTTGTTAATTAATACAATTCCTGACCAAATTTGTTAAAAGAATTGGCAATTTCGACGCGGCGGTGGAATGGGTGCTATAAGAATGGCATGAAGCCTCAAATAGGGAGATATTTTTGTAAATGAGGCAAACCGATTCCAAAATGAACAAAGCAATCCCTGTTAAAATCTTTTGCTCAAAGAATTTGTGTTTGCACGAATCACGAGGTTTAATCTTACACATATACCCGATAGCCCGCACTGTTGCCACAGCTACCCCGTACGGTGTAGTTCTACTCCTCTTGAACTTAATTTCACCCTCTCGCTCCCCTCAAGCAAATCTACCCCGCTCAGATATAAAGCAAAAGAATGTAAATTAAAAATTGAAAAAATGAACAAATACTTTGAATTTGAATCTACCGCGTTACACGAGCCGAGTACCTTTGGCAACGTTGGCGTAAACTGAGTGTCAGGCACCGCTGACGGCGATTTCTTGGATTGTGTCACGATGTGATTGTGTCTTACCGTAAGACTCCGATAGTTCCGATATTCTGTGACTGAGTACTGAGTTACACTACAACAATGCTCTTCTGCTCTTTCAATGATAACTTAAGGTGCGTATTCACCAAAAAAGCGAGCACGAGCGAACAAGAGTGAACGAGCATTCTGCATCAATAATCGTTTGGTGAGTACGGGCTAGCGAGTAAGCGAACGTATGCTGTTCAGAAAAGATCGAGAAGAAGGCGGTACATCAAAAGGTTCTCGCACAAAGTAGATATGGATCAACTACGACTACAAACTTGAAGATATTCGCTCTAGTGTGGACGAGACATCAATATGTCGAGCAAACACAAGCGAACACGAGCAAACATACACGAATGCTCGCTCATGCTCGCTCGTGCTCGCTTTTTTGGTGAATACGCACCTTTAGACAAGAATGATACCGAGCGCCGTGATCATGCTCGGTGCGTTGAAATGTTGATTGATGTTTGTGACATGACATTCGACATTTTTAGTTAAAGTTGAGAACGTAAATGTGGAAATGTTTATATTATGTGCAATCTCAGTCTGTGACGTAAATGTAGTTATATGTATAGTCGAAGTAACCGTTATTATGCACTATTAAAGTTGTCGGCACTCTCAAAGGTCAAAAAAATCAATAAATAGAAGTGAACCGGCAGCAAACTAGTCCAGTTGGACTGTAGACTTGGTGTTTCATATTGGATGATTTTTACTAACCGAGTTTTGTGATTGGCCGAAGAGTCATAAAATCAAATTTGAAATCATGTTACGGTGAGGAATAGAAATTATGGAATGCGGCCTTTGATTATCGCTGTCGTGTACAGTTCAGGAACTGACTTTTTCCAGTGTAGTGATTTCTATAGCGATGATGAACAATGCGAAAAAGAGATACCAGTGAGTATCACAGAGAGTATGTTTCAATATATATAATAATCTACATTCTACATTTCAAGTTTGGTTTCAAGGGAAACAAACTATTACAAGCAACATCAGATTTGACCGAAATTCCTTTCTCAACTAAACGTAAAATAGTCAAAAACAAAACTTATGAACGCAAGACGCGATGTGATTACCAAAACCTTCAAATGTTTATCTAATAAAATCATTGAAAAAACAATATACGACTTTTACAAAATCAATGAGATCCCTACAACTGAAATCATAAGGAATAAATTGAATACTTCCGGCCATAACATGAGCTGCTGTGACAAAACTCTTCAGAATTGGATTGAAAAACTAGAATTCAGATTTAAAATAATAAACAAACGTCAAGCAGTTATGGAAAGCAGAAGAATAGTGGAATTGCGTAACAAATGCTTTGAACAAATATATACAAGAACAACGGCACATTTTCTATTTGGACAAAACTTGGTATAACACTCACGACACACGAGAATGTGTACGCCTAACATGCCTGAAAACAAAAGATCGCGACTAATCATTGTGTATTGCGGAGGAAGTAAAGGATGGGCTCTGAATTATTTGAAATTATGTGGAAAAAAACTTGAGAATTGCAATATTGACTATCATAAGAACATGGAAGCTAATATTTTCGAGAAACGGTTTGAAAACACATCGATTCCAAATTTGGATGCAATGACATGTGACATGTTTTTGATTACAATCGTCAACTTTATCATAGAACATCATAGGCATAAGTTGATGCGTCAGTGTGATTGGTGTCATGATGTGAATGTGGTTCCACCCCGGTTCTACCCCGCTCCCTTTTAGAAATCTACCTCGATAAAAAATATCTTATGGCAAAACTGATAGCCCGTTTCTGTTAATTATTTTCTGGCCAAAGTTTTGAATTTAATTCATATAATAAAACTAGCTGGCCCGGCAAACGATGTTTTGGTAC